GGGGGGGGACTCCCTAATATCAAAGGGCGGGGGTCCTCGGCGTCCCTTTTAGGGTTTGAAATCAGTATTTTGGTCCCGCTTAGGGTGATCATGACAAGAATTCCTACCAACTGTGTTTTGTGGTCCCTTTTAGGGTATACGGCGACCCTAAGCAGTCATAAAATGGCAACGTCGTCATAAACTCAATACGAGCCGACGGTGTTCGATGATTGTGTAAAAACACAAATAAAATCGGTAAACCAAAACAAAAATGACCTGTTATTGATTGGTCCCTTTTAGGGTTGAAATTTCAGCACTGCCACGCCCATCATCTCACAATAGAGGTCCCTTTTAGGGGTCATTTTCACAATCTCCGCCGAGGACCCCCGCCCTTTGATATTAGGGAGTCCCCCCCCCGGGAAATAGGCACAGCATTATGCCAATTCTTCTGTTTTCCTTTGCCTGACTAAAAGTGGTAGTTTCACTTCAGTAAAATAGGAGGAGCAGACGGTTTCCTGGGAGATATACAAGTCACAACTGGTTGCCAGCAGGAAATTCATGAAAAAGGAACTCTCCAGGCAAGGAGTACTTTCTGAGAATCTTTGCCAGGAAGATAAAAATTCCCCAACAAAAAAAAACATAAGCCAGTTTTGACCATAAAAACGTTTGCCAGGAACAAAATTATTTTAAAGAAGGAAGGGCTCCATATTTGCTTGTGAGATTGTCAACAATGTACCTCAAAATACCTTTCCCAGGAAACAATTTTTACAAGAACAGATATTTAGAAGAACAGACCCCGTCCTCCTGGTAATATTTGTTTCAAGGATGGGTGGCATGGGTGGCCTAGTGGTTAAGCTACTGGCCTCTCACCGCTGTGGTCCGGGTTCGATTCCCGGACACGGACTATATGTGAGTTTGAGTTTGTTTGATGTGTTGTTCTCCCCCTTGCCACGAGGGTTTTTCTTCGGGTACTCCGGTTTTCCTCCCTCAGCAAAAATCAACATGTGAGGAGTGTTGTGTGCTAAAATACTTAATGTAGAGGTAGTGAGTGTGAGAGTACAGGGTCCGCAGTAATTGGCTCACGCTGTTGCGGTGTCCCTGCCCAAACTAGGGGCAAAGCTAATAAATTAAATTTAGTTTGTCCACAACAATGAAAGAGTTGGATGTGATTCATAGTGAAGCTTAAGTAGTGATATACTTTCAACCATAACTAGACACCTTTTTCAAGCCTGATCAAGATTGGTCCTAAAGGGAACCAATACTTACCAAC